TATAATTATTTTTGTTCTCAACTAAACTCTTATTGAACTTGGTGGTTGTGTGTACTTTGTGGATGCTTGTGACTTTTATGGCTACTCTTGAATGTGACCTTCACCATTATATAATATGATGATGATACTAAATATTTAGTAATGGACTTGCAACTTGGAAGCAACATGCATACCTACATGCCTCTAAATCTTCATTGCTTTTCAAACTTACAAGATTTAGAGAATCAATTCTAGTTGGCCTAAGTTAGGTTCAAAAGGAAGGGCAAATTTGATATATTCTAACGACTAGATTAGTGTATATTTTTTTCTTCTTGAAGGAAACCTAATTGGATGGTAAATTCGAAGTTTGAAAAATCGATACGAACAAAAAAAACGTTTATATTTTGATACTGACACAATAACTACTCTTTGTTGAACCCAAGTGAAAAAAACATTTTATATGTGGTTCTTCAGTTAATTTATATTTAGCAACAGAATTTGAAACTAGAACCGTATATATACATTAAGAATCGAATTGTTAAAATATTGGGAACGACTACAGTTTCGTCACGGTATGATTCGTCATCTTAATATTAATCATTAGATCGTTTAGTTTAATACAGACCCTGTGATGCCAACGAGATTGCATTAGCATATCTCGACAAATATGATCGACTTATGCCTTTAGTTTGATCGTTATTATATGTGTTTATATTATTTATGTGTGTATTTGTTTATGATGTGTATTGGGCTTGTTTTTGTTTGGGCTTTAGGTGGTTAGGACTTAGTTGTATTAAAACAGATGGTGGTGTGTTTATTCTGGCAGTTATCGTATTATCAGATTGAATCAGAAAAATAGAAACTGTCTTTTGTGTTCTTCAGTTCTTTCATTATCATCTTCCCATCACTTGCTATCTCGCTGCATCATTTGGTATCAGTTAACCGGGATGATTCACGATGCCGCCACGACGCCGAGATGCCGAAATTGACGATCAGTTTCAACGTATGGATGATCGGATGCAATTGTTGGATACTCGGGTTGCGGATCTATCTACCGGAATTGACGAAATTCGTCTTACGCTGACTACTTTGATGAGGGACCAGCAAGCACATAGGGAGGTCGCCGGCGGGAGAGGTGGTCGTGCGGGACAACGAGGCGGCCGTGACGGTCGCGGTGATGCGCTCCGACAACCACTTTTACAATTGAACTTCGTTGACGTGGACAGTGAGGACACTTTGTCCGACGTCAACCATTTTGCCGAGGATTTTGCACAGGAGGGCGTACCTGGTCGCCGTCAACCTCGCCGGCGGGCTGAGGGTTTTCGTTTGGCAATATCGCCTCCTCCACGGGCCGAGGCTATTTTTCCGCACCCGTCGTTCCCGAATCCAACACCAAAGGCGGCGCGCCGTGCGACTGGAGATAGGGATGTCCGTCCTCGCCATGATTTCCGGCGTGCTGAGGTGGCCGATGATTTCCATCATCGATGGCGGGCTGCAGGGCGGCGTGAGCTTGCGGACTCCGACGGAGATTTTGACGGAGAGAATTTTCATCAAGGCCGTCGCTTTGAAGAATTGCGTCGTCCACTGAATGCAAATCGGTGATTTGGGGAATTTTATCCTGCAGAATATGGGCCTAATATTTTTTGGGCTGATGATTTTGATAATTATGGACAACGGGCCCAAAGGCACCATACTGTGCCTGATTTTCATGTACCAGAGGCTGATTTTGTTGGGGCCCGATCCCGTAAATATGGGGCAGATGCACTTGGTGATACCCGATGGGAATCAACTTTTCGTGTTGAATTACCGAAATTTACTGGTGGAGTGCATGCAGCTGAATTTCTTGATTGGTTAGCTGCTGTTGAATCCGCTCTCGATTATAAAGCCATCTCGGATGACCGTCGTGTGGCGCTTGTTGTTACCCGACTTCGGGGTCGTGCGGCTGCTTGGTGGCTACAACTGAAAGGCGTGCGGCATCGTCAGGGCAAGTCGAAAATTACTTCGTGGGTGAAGTTTCGTAAGTATCTCGAACGTGAATTTTTACCGTTTAATTTTATCCGTACGTTATATCAGCGTTTGCAAAATCTTCGTCAAGGGCAACGTAGTGTGGACGACTATACTGAGGAATTTTATAAACTCCTAGCCCGTGTAGATATTCGTGAGACACCGGATCAATTAGTTTCCCGATATATTGGGGGTTTGCGTGTCTCTATTCAGGATGTGTTGAATATGTTTACTCCGACTTCCGTTCCTGAGGCTCATCAGCGGGCTTTATTGGTTGAGCAACAATAGGCTCGAAAAGTGGGCACTTCTTTTGCGCCGTCTACAAAGGAGCCTCTTGGTACTTCAAGTACCGCGTCGTCTGCGTCGAAGCCACCGTTCGATGTGAGTGCTCCTTCGGAAGGCCATGTAGTTGGCCCTACGATGGGGAGTGGTAATCGGCAGTCTAGTGGTCCGCGTTGTTTTACTTGTGGTGAGTTGGGGCATCGCCAGACACAGTGCCCGAAGGCGAGAGGGTCCCGGGCGTTGATTGTTGAGGAGCCCGACTCGACTGTTTACGATGGTCCTCCAATTTTTGATAAAGAGCCGGAGGTTCCAGAGGTGCATGTTTTGGGAGACGTGGGTCACGCGCTTGTCCTTCGTCGGTCTCTTTTGTCTCCTCATATCTCTTCTGAGGATAAGGTCCAACGACACCACCTTTTTGAATCCACATGCACCATTGGCGGTCGAGTGTGCCGTTTTGTCATTGATACTGGCTCATGCGAGAATGTAATTTCGAACGAGGCCGTGACGAAACTTGGGTTGTTAAGTGAGACGCATCCGAATTCGTATGCTCTTGCGTGGATACAACATGATGATTCGATTTGTGTCACCCGACGTGTGTTGGTGAGCTTTTCTATCGGGTCCTTTTATAAGGACATGATTTGGTGTGACGTTGTGCCTATGGATTCTTGACACGTTTTATTAGGACGACCTTGGCAATTTGATCGCTCAGTGGTACACGATGGACGCCTCAACACATATAGTTTTTTATTTGAGGGCGTCCGCATAGTCTTGCATCCGTCGTCCTCCAGTTCGGGTCCTTTGCCATCATCGTTTCTGGTTTTATTTGTTTCTCACGCCGAGCAGTGTAGGGAGTTATCTGGCTCGGTGGATGGTCGCTCGATAGTCTTTGACGTAGGTGATTTTGTCGACTGGGTCGCTCAAGACGCCGACGAGATTGCGGATTCGAGGGCGAATCCTCTCCACCTGGGGGAGAATGATGCCGACGAGATTGCATTAGCATATCTCGACAAATATGATCGACTTATGCCTTTAGTTTGATCGTTATTATATGTGTTTATATTATTTATGTGTGTATTTATTTATGATGTGTATTGAGCTTGTTTTTGTTTGGGCTTTAGGTGGTTAGGACTTAATTGTATTAAAACAGATGGTGGTGTGTTTATTCTAGCAGTTATCATATTATCAGATTGAATCGGTAAAATAGAAACTGTCTTTTGTATTCTTCAATTCTTTCATTATCATCTTCCCATCACTTGCTATCTCTGCTGCATCACCCTGACAATTTTTCATTGGAGTTTTTTATGGAGGAATGGTCCGTATGTACTTTAGCATTTTCCTATTACCCATTTTATTGAAGAAGGCAACCGAACCAACTAATTTTCGATGTTTTTTTTGGTTGGATCGATGTGTTTGTTTAATTACTAATCTGCCCTCAACCTGAGGACAACCTGAGAAGAAAGAAAAACCCAGTGTGAACAATTATATAAGGTGTGATGATCTTTATAAAGTTGGGGACTTTTGGTGCTCACGGCTCTCACTATTTGCACATCTAAATCTTGACCGGTACCCAAAAAGACTTTTTGCAGTAAAAGAGGCAAAAGGAAGAAAAAAATGGAACAAACCCAGAAGGTTATAATCGTAATTTCAGTGGTGACAGTAATTAAAAAGAAATAAAAAATTGAGGGCTATCGCCATCAAAGCAGCCATCAGAGGACCAAAGCCTAAAAACAAGGTACTATCAACCCCAACAACTGCAAAAGCAAACAAACACCTTCTCTCCCCATTTATTTATCTCTTCCTTTCTCTCTCTACCCATCTTTTGCTTTTTCATCTCTCTCTCTCTCTCTCTAGCAAATGGAAGAAAAAAAATTGAAAAAAAAAAAAAACAGATCAAGAGTCAAGACTCTACCTTTATCTCCTCACATACGATGTATTATCTCTCTACACAATCCTATTCCTTATACTCTATAGAAAGATAAAGAGTTTTTGTAGCTCAACACAAACTCTGTCTCTCAATGGCCCCATTTGGACCAAAATTTATGTAGAAGAAAAACCACCACAAGAAAAAAGAATTCAACAACAAGAGATAGGCAGCAAATCAGAGAAAGAAAGAAAAGAGTGTGTTGTTCTATAGAGAAAAGAGAGGCCCTCAAATGTCTTTCCAAATAGACCAAAGCCCACCAATAAAGCAGACATTTTTTCATGCCACAAATGCCCCTCTGCAGTCTGCAACCTCCCC